TGCCGGAAGGTTACTGCTCTACACCGGGCTTTCGCTAGCGCTCTGCGCCCTCGGCATGCTGGCGGTGGCCATCTGCTCCGACCACTGGTACGAGACTGACGCCAGGAAGCACAGGGACAGGTGCAAGGCCTTCAACACGCGCCGGGTCGACCCCGGCTTCATTTACAACAACAACAACAACTTGCCTCTGCGCGCGAGCCGCTCGCGCCTGGACCGCTGGGAGGGCAAACTCCTCCGGGCCCGGAATCGCCGGCAGCTGTTCGCCATGAGCCCGGCGGACGAGTGCAGCCGGCAGTACAACTCCACCAACATGGGCCTCTGGAGGAAGTGCCACCGGCAGGGCTTCGACCCGGAGATCGCTGCCCTCATCCGGAAAGGTAAGCTCGAGGCGCGAGGCGTGGCGCTGCAGAGAGCCAGGCGCCCTGAGCTAGGCCCTGCAGCCCCTCGCCGCTCCTGGTGGCTACAGGCGGTGACATCTCCTGGTTCCCAGGCCTGACTGAGCCTTGTCGTAGGCAGAACTTGCCTCTCCCCACAGCTGTGATAGACTGTGGTAAAGGCTTCCCTCGTTTTGCTCACCTGCTCTTGTCTTGCTCTTGTCTATCCAGATTCGCATGGAATTTTCTGAGCCAGGTTTCTTTCTCTCTTTCTTTAAACCCAGAATAATGCTTCATCAGCTTCTGTCTGAGAAGGAAGGGAATCTCCAGTGTTGTTTCTGGAGGAAACCCTTTAGGGGTGATGTGTCAGGGGTAACTGACTCCGAATTTTAATCTTGGTTTTAGTATGTTGAACTGATTCAGTTAAGGGAAGCTGGGGTGGGGGATGTCCCCCACAGAAGGCCACATGCACCCCGGAAACATTTACTTAGTAGTGCACTGTAGAAGTCATGGTGTAGGTACTGGTCATACAAACATCAATAAATTACAGCCCTGCCTCACAGTAACCCAAAGTAGTTCTTCAGTAACATTCCATTGCAGTCTTCTTCTGGAAAAGTGATTGGCAGAAGTGATGGTTTGCTGTGAATATCAGCAGTCTAAAAGCACAAAAAGTGATACCCGAGTGGGTATATCAGAAGGAAAAAAAATACTATTTTCAGATTTATATAGAACACTCAAGGTATATAAATCAGATAACACACAGATATTTGCTAATAACACTTGATATTTGACTATGATCACAAGCATAGAAAAGTGTGCTTATGTGATGTGGTTTGTAAATCCTGTATGATTTACGTGTGGGAAACCAACCACCCTGTCTCATCAGCAAATACTGTTTGATGTGGTGTGCTTGAGTGTCGTTGTGAGGAGGGGGCTGTATTCTTTTCTGTGATGGCTGCACCCTGGGAAGATGTGTAGATTTTATTCTTGTTTCTCTCCTCATGTGTCACTCTCTTCAACTAGCAAGCAGTTGACAACTGTGCTAATATTTGCAAATACGATTTGAAGCCAAGACATAAAGCAATTCTTGATGTCTCATATCACCATGAAGTTCACTGATGTTTTAAAACAATATCTGAGAGAATTGATGGACTTTGATTTACAAAAGTGTTGAGGTTGTTCTGAAGGAATTGTTAATTTGAAAACACACACACACACACACACACACACACACACACACACACACACACACTCACTCACACCACCACCACCACCATCACCAACCATGTAAGAATGACAGGCAGTGGGTATGCTCCAGGAGGCCATTTCACAGTTAGGAGGTGAGGAGGAGAGGTAGAGAAGAGAGAGAGAGAGAGAGTGAGTGTCCATCTTGGCATTTGTGTGTAGCTTGTAGGCATGGGCAAACTGGTGCTTACAGACATCCCAACTGCTTCCTGACAAGGCTCTTGTCAGTATGGCCTGACCCATGTGGAACCTTGCAACTTTGTGAGGATGCTCAAGATGTGGGGCTTGACCAAGAAGCAGGAAAATAAGAGGAAGCAGAATTACTTTTCACAAGGGGGATTTTTATAACTGTTTTCAGATTAATGATGTTATTTGTATCTATGTTCCATTTTCTTTAAAATGGAAATGATAGCTAGCTAGCTGAAGTGTTGGGAGAGAACTGCTAATAATGACTGGTGAGCGTTGACAAGATTTGAAGGACATTCTTGAATTTCCTTCTCTGAACCTTTTAGAACAAGACTATTATCCTGTATCTGGTATTGACTGACCCTACTTAGAGACATAGGGGAATGGGATTTGTGGCTTCTGGTAGCTCCATCCAGGTCTCTGATTCCATTTTGCCTGCTTGGTAATCTGACTAGAGAGGTTGACTTGGTCTGTGCATCAGAGGGACTGGTTACCATAGTGACATGTTCTTCCGGTGAAGCTGGAAACATAGTGACAGGAGAAGGAACAGGGGAAGAATGAACAACATTTTGACTTTGTATCGACTGATTTTTTAATTGCAGCAACAGAAAATGGACACACACAGCAGGGGGATTGAATACACTGATACCCAGAGTTGGCAGGGCATTGTATTTCACTTGAACTAATGCTGTTCCCATCACCTCAAATACAGCAATCACTGTCAGCTGCAAGCACTTGCTCACCATGGTTGTTTCTGTCCTTTTGGCATTCTTGTTAGGCATTATTAAGATAGATGGCATACTGGGCTTACAAATCTTGAGAGACCTAAGGTCACCATCTTCATTTTTTAACCTTATAGCATCATCTTTGAAAACCAGATCTTCTCCTTACAAGCAGGAATAGACATTTTGTAAACAAGTGCATTTTATACTCACAGAATTTATGGGCAATTCTAATAACATATAGAAAGCAATTTCTAGAATTAACCAGCATTTGTTCTAGAGGGGTATATTTTATAAGGAAGTTAAAATTGATACTTCCATATTTAAATTTAAGATACCTTAAGGAAAGATGTTTATCTCATATTATTCATTAGAAGCTCCAAAGAGAACTTAGATGTTTATCTCCTTTTGAAACATATTCTATTATAATTGTGTGAGATATATTTTGGGCAAAGGAAAAGGGAAACCAGAGAAAAGGCTGTTTAAAATGTTATGGGAAAATGTGAGTTGTATCTTTTATTTTATTTTATTTTTTCATTTTTTTGAGACAGGGTTTCTCTGTGTAATAGCCTTGGCTGTGCTGGAACTTGCTCTGTAGACTAGGGTGGCCTTGAACCCACAGAGATCCACCTGCCTCTTTTTCCCAGTCGCTGGGATTAAAGGTGTACACCAGCACCACTTGGCGTGAATTGTATCTTAATGATCCTATTGCCGTAAAGGGTTCAGTCACTTGTTTGCATTGTCAGTCATTGCATTGAAAGTGTTGTTTGTTCTTTTGAAAGAAAACAAAACCACCAAATGAATAAGAAAGCAGGAGTCCAGTTCTATCAGACAGGAAGATGAAGTATCTGGGACTCAGGTCCTTTTGATGCTTCCTGCCACCGCTGTGCACACCAGCATGTATCTCTGGCAGTGACGCTTGTTTCATTATTGAACTGGAAGTTCCTGGATGGCAGGCAAACACACACATTTGGAACACACACCCACCAGAGCTTTGGTTCTTGGGAAATACCTCATAAAAGTCAGGCTTATAAATGTGTCCATCTAGAGCCAGTTCTAGTTCTAGGGATAGTTGTGTGGGAATACAAATAATAGGTTAGTTGGGAAATCATGATGAAAAAAAAAAAACCTACTGTGACTATGAGCCCAGGTTAATAGTGTAACAGATGCTAAATGAGACGATGAAGAAGGATTTCTTGTGCGAAAGCTTTGCCGAGGAAGAAAGGAAACTCCTGATTCGCTTTGGGAAGCATATGCCACTGAACAGTCATGCATCATGCAAAGCCATTATTTTCCATGTTAGATAAGATTTTAATTATCCTTTCCTTGGAGGTTGGATTGAGTATGGGGTGTAGCAAGAATCGATTACTCCAAATTGTCATATAACTTGGTCAGGGAGGAACCTTAGATCATGTCCTCTTGCTTCTAAACCTCATCCTTGTCTTTCAGAAAAGTCAAAACAAGTGCGGGGGGGGGCAGATCAATGGTAAGACCAATTTCTGAAGTCCAAGAGACATCCTGGTAGCTCTAAGTAAGGATTGTTCTAGGGAACACTTTATTTCTTTGGTTTGTACTGACGTGCTACATTGATGGAGTTTGAAATAAGCAGACCTCTAGCTGATTTTTTTTTTTTTTTTTAAAGACAGGGTCTCACTTGTAGCTCTGACAGGCCTGGAACTCACTATTGTAGACTAGGCTAGTTTCAAAGTCATAGAGATCTGCCTGCCTTTGCTTCTGAAGTACTGGTAGCA